AGTAGCTTATTGCAACTACCCCACCAGATTCCCCTTCATGGCTGGAGCTAAGGGCTGCTCCCCTGGACCTCTCCTGAGCCTCCCTGGGCCCTGCAAACCCTCGGGGGGACAAGAGGATTTTATAATGGGGGGCTCAGCCCTGTGTCTGAGTCCACCTGAAGCCCTTCCATGGTCATCAGGCCTCTGTCCAGGCTGCTCTCTTCTCTGGGCGGGACAAAGACTTCCTTTGAAAAACGCACCCTGATGGGCCAGGGAGGGAACTTGGGGGCCCCCAGGTCATTTTGGCCATCACCTTCCTCCAGCTGGGACCTCACAAGTCCAGCTGAGGCCTGTGTCAGCTGCACTGTGTCTGTGTGTGTGAGCAGCTTCCAGTTCTGGGCCTGTGGTGGGGCACCGTTGTCAGGCCAGTGTGCGGCATGCTGGGGAGGGTGCTGGTGGTGCAAGTGCATCCTGGGCTCTGCCAGGCACAGTGTGGACGAGGCCCGCATCAGCTAAAGCTTCTAATCTGTAGATGGTTACTGGGAAGAGGTGGGAGGTTTTTGGTGATGGGCGGGGGTGCTTTCTAGGGACCAGGAGACACAGCATACACCTGCTGGTCTGTCTGGAAGTGGTTAGCTGAGGCAGGATCAGGCCAGTGTCTGCTATACCTGGCCCAGGTCACAGCCGCTTCTTGTTCCCTTCAAGGACCCTACTTGGCTACTGACCTTTCTGAATCCTTTGAGGGCACTGGGCACATTCCCCAGCCCCAGGCCCCTCCAGTCCTGCACTGGGGGTCCCTAGGCTGCTCAAGGTGCTCAGAGCCTGACTGCCTGAAAGGAGCCCCCACAACCTGGCCACAGGAGCCTCAGTTGTTGGCAGTGGGGAGTGCTTGTCCTATCTTCCAACCTTAGAGCTCACCTGGGTGAGATCAGGGAGGACAGAGAGGGGGTCAGGACTGCAGGGCAGCGTGCTGTGGCCACCCATCCAGATGCTGAGAGGGAAATCAAGAGGCAAAGGGCCCCTGCAGCTGTGCAGACCCAAGCCAAGTACTGACCATGAATCTGATCTTGGAGTGGGGGTACATCTGCCAGCCAGGAGGCAAAGGACATCACAGTGCATGCCCTAGGGAGTGTCCTTACAGTTGAAATGGGCAGGGCAGGTGGGGGCTACCCCCCACCCAGTTCCTCTCTGTCCCAGGCTTCCTCACTCCCCCAGGTGATGAATTGTCTTGCTTGCTGAGGGCAAATCTGAGTTTCAATACAACTTGATCCAGCGAGTTCTGAGCACTGAACTGAGGGATGGCTCCTGGGGAGGCTCTTTCTCTTTTTGCTTTTCCTTCCCTGCCTCTCTGGAGCCCTGGCTCTCGGTGGTGGTAGCAGGGCCATCTCCTCTCTTCCCATTCAGGGACATTACAGCCACGAGACCCTCTCTCTGCCTGCCCCCTCTCCCTGCTACACCCCAGATCATTGACTCCTGTTCCTGACAGAGACAAGCCCAAGCCCTTTGCTTCGTGTTCAAGGCCCCATTTTCATTTCATGATCTCACCGTCTCCTGCCAAGTCTACACCTCTAGGTCCAATTCCCACCTCCTCCAGGAAGCCCACTCTGCCATAGTTAGCTCTCTCTTCTCTGACCCCCTCCAGACCTGGTCTCTCATGTCTCATGGATAGGTCCAGAGCTCCTTGTCCAGCCTGGCCCTGCCTCCCTCACTGGGGAGCCTGCTCCTCTCCCCTCAGTTGCCTCGAAGCAACGGGCCTAGAGGCATGGCAAATGCCATGGCACCTTCCCACTGCCCCTTGCGTCCAAATAAGTATCCTGGGAGTCAGAGGAATGCGCAGCACCCTGGTGCTGGTGATTGAGAGACAAGGGTGTGAATTCTTACTCTGCCACCTTCTAGCTGTGTGGCCTGGAACAGGTTCCCTAGCCTCTGGCCTTGGTATGTACCTTTAAGCAGGGCCAATAACTTCCACCTCCTGAAGCTGATGTATGGACTACACACACAGTTTAAACTCACAGCCATCAGTGGGTGCTCTGTAAACAGCAGCTCCGTTGGATTATGAGTCCTCCTATCTTTGGGTGAGGGGTGGGAGCCCAGAGAGGGTAGGCCTGAGCCAGAGCTCATTCAGGACAAAGCAGGACGAGACTCCAGGACCACAACAAGACTGGCCACGCTGTACTCTCCCTGGGGATGGCCAGCTGAGCACCCAGCCAGCCCCTCTTCCTTATGTCAGGTGCATTCTGGACACCTACATCCACTCCGGCCTCTCTGGAGGTAAGGCTGAAGCCAACCCCATACCTGAGGAAAAAGAACTGGTCTCCCTGGCCATTTCTGATGGATGGTGGCCTGTTAGCAGCAGCTAGCAACATCAGAGACTGGAACCGTGGAAGTGAAAAAGCTGCCCCTACACACAGACCTCCTGCCAACACTCCTCCATCCACGTGTCCCCTTATTCCTCTTTCTCTGGCTGTGGGCTGATGTGACCAGAGGATGCTTCTAGAAGCATGAGATTTGAAACAAGCTGGCATCCTGATATGAGTGCAGTGGACTTCAGCCTTCCGTTGTGGTGGTCAAGACCAGAAGGAGCCTGCCTCCTGCACCCCCACCACAAGGCCCCCACATGTACCCCAAATCCTAAGCAGAACATACATCTCCATGTGCTGCTCATGAACATTTGGGTGCACCTGGAGTGCAACTGGTGGTCCTAAGGGCTTATGGGTGCCATGTTCTCAGGGCCTTTGGGATGCTGTATCCCCTAAGGACAGTTTCTGGAGCTGGGACAGAAGGACCAGGGGTGGGGCAGAGCCACTCTTTTCCTCCCGTGCCCAGCTGCGCCGCCACACCTTCCCAGGTCCCTTCCTCTTCCTCTCTACCCCCAGCCCCTCAACTTTCTAGCTCTTCTTTTCCTCCTCCTCCCTCCCACCCCCTTCCTTCCTTCCCTACCTTGATCCATTCCCATTTCTTTCTCTTTTTTAACGTTCACCTCTCCCCCATCTTCTCCCGTGTAGTAGAAGTATTTAATGGATATTAAATTACTTTAAACTGACTTTTTTTTTAGTTTGGTGGTAGTGCTGACTCAGAATCATCTCCCTGTTTAATACTGACTATGCAATTAATAGATAGATGTTTAGGGTTGGCTCTCTTGTCACCTCTTTCTACTGCAGGAAGCATAAAAGACCTCAGCGGCAAGTGTCAGCAGCAGGAGATACACGGGAGAAAGGAGATGAGCTCAGCGACTCAGAGTCTGAAAGCTATTGCCTCCAAGGAAGTGAAGGAGAGGAGGATTTGCATTAGAGCTCAGAGTGGTCTCACCAGGCAAGGGGGTTCCCGGCACCTCACTCCAGTTCTGGAGAATCTAGCTGTCTGCTCCACACCAGAGAGGCCCCTTGTTCCCTCCCAGGGACCTCCCTCTGTGTTCACGCTGCCCAACTTCTCCAGGTGTGGAATCTCCCCTCCTTCAAGTCCAGCTCAGGTGCCAGCTCCTCCGAGGCCTCTGGCTGCCACCACCTCAGGGACAACAGGGGCCACTTACAGTTCGAGCTACCTTCCTCTACACAAGGCTGTCTCCCCACCAGGGTGAGGCTCTTCGCTGCCTCCTGGCCCTGCCACGTGAACAGAGCGAGTGCTGCAGGTGAGTCACTTCATGATGGGGGACTAGGCCCAGGTGGTCGGCGGGCCTGCTGCCCAGAGGCCATCTCTAGGAGAGGCCCCTTGGCCCTGCCACCTGCCCCCGAAGAGGAGCTATGCATGGGGCAGGATAGCACCCCTTTCCCTGCCAGGGCATGGTACCTGGCACTGGGTATTTGAGGAGCCTCTGTGGGCACAGAAACTGAAGTAGCTGGAATGCCAGGAGAGGGGCAGAAGCAAGCAGCGTGAACCCAGCTGGCTTTGCTCACCTGGGCCCTGTACACTTGAACCATTTTACCCCTCAGCTGACCCACCTTCACTGTTGGGGTCCTCAGGATACAGACCTCTCAGAGTGCACAGAGGGTGTGTCTGCACCCTGGGGCATGGGGTCCTTTGGGCACCACCAAGACACCAGTGGGGCTCTGGTGGGTGGGATCTGAGGCCCATGTCGGGGTGTGCTGGGAGACCACATGTTGTGTTGGTGGCCATACTATAGTTTCCTCAGAACAAGGATCTTAACTCTGAATTTGCAAGTCGGTTTTGCCTGTGTTACTTTTTGCTCTTAATTTCCTTGAAAACTTTTTTGGGGAAAGGGAGGATGATGGAGAGAGAAATTCCTCAGTGTCTGGCTGAGTTAAGAGGAGAGTGACCTGTCCAGGCCCAGGCAGGGAGAGCCAAGGGGCAGAGGTCCCTGGCCTGGCACAGTGTGGGCATGGTCACCCAGCCCAGAACCTAGGATGCTAGGTGTTTGACAGAGGAACCCAAAAGCCGGGCCTTGTGGGGCCCCTGTATGTAGTAGGGTGAGGCCCCTGGCTGGTGGAGAGGACAGCCTTCGGTCAGGGAATGGAGGGTTGTTTGTGTAGTGAGGCTGTGCCTTCTGCTTGGGCTGTGCCTCCCCTTCCAGACTTCTCCTGTCCACCAGTACCTATCTCCAGGATCTTGATTTCAGTGGTCCTATGCCCCCAGGGGCAGACCTTCTCAAATCTGCCCACTCTGGCCTGAATATGCCCAGGGCAGGGTTGCAATCCATCCCCTCCCTCCCGGGCTGGCACCTTTTCAACTGGTCAAGACCCAACACAGTGGGGTTTTCCTTGGTGAAATAGAGGTGGGCACACCCTTTTGGGTGCCCCAAAGGGGGCAGAAGAGTGCCCCAGGACGTGCTGCTAGCTTTCTCACAGAACAGAAGAAGCCACCCAGCAGAATCCAGTCATCTCCCCACTTCCCTTCACTGTCCCCACACCAGTCACCCAGGGCTCCAAAACCCTGTCCCAATCCCACCCTCCTCCCCTCCACAACATCCCCTGGGGGCAGGGAGTCGCTGCATCTGGGAGAGGGAGGGAAGGAAGGAGGGATGGGTGGGAGAGGAAGGGGAGGGGCAGAGACAAGTGAGCCCTCACGTGAAGGGGGCTGGCGCAGGCAGCTACTACCTCCTCGACTCTCGCTGTCCGCTGGCTTCACCTGGATGGGCCGGTTCATCTGCAACACAGCACAGGGAGACAGTATTAGAGCTGGCCTGGGAGTGGGAGCAGACACAGGGGTTCACAGGTATTAAGCACACAGACCACACCCACCTGCCCATCCAGTCGTGCAATTGCCACACCCACGCAGCTGCCACCATGCGCCTCTTCGCTGAAGCTCCCCTAGCCTCCACACTCTGCAGTCCCTGGGCCCCATTATTTCAGGCAGGCAGGGATCTCTGGATCGGAGACCCTGGGATGTCCCCTCCTAACTTTGAGCAGCTCTTGCTAGGCTGTGACATCAGAACACGAGGTGTCCCCACAGCGCATCTGGATACCAGAGACAGCTGGCTTTGCCTCAAAGAGCTGGCCTCTGGCTGCAGACTGATTCCTGCTCAGGCCAGGGCATGGCAGTGAGTTCCACCCCACCTCCTGCCATCTTGCAGATACGGGCTGAGGTTCTGAGCTACTCAGCTCCAAGTTGGAGCACAAATTAGGGCCGGGGCTCTTGATTGCAGCCAGGGCTGTCCCCTCGGGGGTGGGTGGAGCAGGCACAACTACTTGTCTCCCGTGGTGTCTGGGTGCCAGGAGGCCACCAGGGCCCAGCTTCATCCCTCAAGCCTTCTGGCCACTGGCCTTTCTCAGGATTCATTTCAATGTCCCGTTCAGGCCACTAGGGGTCTCTGAACTCCAAGCATGGCTCCTTCTGGACTCTTGAATCCTGTCTGCAGCTGAGGCACCAGGGTGGGCTCTCCAACCCTAAGGCCCCAAGATACATCAAACAATAAAAACAGTAGGAATCACACAAATGGAATCGTACTTTCTGTCTCTGCCAGTGCTTTTTGCCTGTCATATGCCTCCTTATCCCTTACCACATTTGCATTGCTCCCACAAACCCTGAGCCGCAGGCAGAGCAGGTACTAACACCCCCATTTTATAAGTGGAGAAGCTGAGGCAGGACAGCTCCATGGCAGGACACGCCTGGGAATCCGGGTCTGCCAGGACTATTTCTGGGCTTCCATCCTGCACCAGGCGGCTGTGTTGCCAGTTCTGCTTGTGTATGTGTATGGAGGCCAGACGAGCCAGTCACAAGATTCCTCAGGCCTTCTGGCCTAGGATATGAAGTGAGTTTTGGCTGCATCAAGGCAGTGGGTTGGGCAGCACAGGTGACCATGACTCAGCACGGTGAGGACAAGGCCAGGCGGAGGGCAGAACCACCGCACGGAGGGCAGAGGCACGAGGCAGGGCGCGGAGCAGAGGGGAGGAGGCCCGGGTAGCCGGAGGAGGCCAGCCCACTGGGTGTACTGTTTGCCCGGAGGCCCCTGCCCAGCAGGCCTTCTGGGGTTGAGGGAGTGAAGGCGCTCTGCGTGTACACTTTGCCAGCAGAGGAAACCATGGTGTTACGGAGAGCTCCAGTCAGAGGGACAAGGAAGGGGGACATAATGAAGTTCCCAGCTTCATTTAGGGAGCCTGGCTCCCCCAGAACCCCCTCTTTCCAACTCCTAAAGGAAGGGTCCAGAAAGCCTGGTAGGCTTCTGGCTGTGGGAGAAGGTTCCCATGGGCAGCTGCAGCCACGGTTCCCCAGTGCCTTTTGGGACTCAGCATCCAACCCTTCCCCAGGCTGTCCCCCCTTTCTGGAACATCCCTTCTGCCTAGTCTCTCCTAAACCTGCAATATTCTTCTACTCCAGAAAGGCCCCGACGACTGACCTGGACCTGCTTCTGGCCAGTGTTTCTCCTGGGCAAAGCTGCGCAGTTTCTCTCTGAGTGATTGTGCTGCTTCTCTGAGGTAGGGGTTATTATCTCTCTGGCTGATGAGAAGACAAAGCTCCGAGGGCTGGCAGATCTGGATTCTGCAGGATGGGAAGGCTCAGAGCTAACAACGCCGTGATGAGTTGGCCTTCCTGTATTTTATTTCATTTGACCCCAGCTGCTCTGGAAGGACGAGGTCCATCTGGCAAGGGGAGTTTGGGGCCAGGTTTCTTGGGTCAACAAATAAAATCAACCTCTTCAGCCTGGGCCCCCAGATCTGGTCTCCACTACCTCTTGCATCATGCCATTCTCAGCACCTTCCTCCTCCAAGTCCATTCCTCAGCCTCCAGGCTCTTCTGTCATATGCACACCAGCCTCCTCCTCCATGAAGGCTTCCTGGTACTACAGTGGGAAGGGTCCTGCAGGGAATTCTCCCTTTTTCTTATAAAAGGTACCATCAAGGCTAGGAATTGAGTGGCAAGGAGAGGGAGCTCAGGTACCCCAAAGGACATACAACACTGTTACACCTTCAGGAAAATGAGTAGCTGCCACACAGATTGTACAGCAGTCCCCCCTTGCCGGTGGAACACAGGTTCTAAGACCCTCAGTGGACACCTGAAACCTTGGATAATATTGAACCCTATATAAATATGTTTTTCCTATACATACGTACCTATGATAAAGTTCAACTTATAATTTAGGCACAGTAAGAAGTTAACAACAATAACTAATAATAAATAGAACAATTATAAAAATATATATAGTAAAAGTTATGTGAATGTGGTCTCTGTCTCTTTCAAAATACCTTATTGTGTACTGTACTTAGCCTTCCTGCGATTATGTGAGATGATAAAATGCGTATGTGATGAGTGAAGTGAGGTGAATGATGTAGGCAGTATGACGTAGCGTTAGGCTGCTATTGACCTTTAGATCATAAGTCAGAAGGAGAATCATCTGCTTCAAGGACCTGGGTTGACTGTGAGTAACAGAAACTGTGGAGAGTGAAACAGCAGATGAGGGGGCACTGCTGTATTGCTGGATTATCATAACTTCCTCTGTGATGTATGCAAATAGATTATCATCAATTTAACCAAGGAAATGGAATTTCAGGGAGGTTAAGAAACTAGACCAAGGTCACACAGGTGGTAAATGGTGATATCCAGATGAATCTCTTAACACCTGCCTATACCTTCAGGAGATGCTGGGAACCAGGTGCGATGAGCTTGGGGACAGTCCAGCAAAGTTCAAAGCAGAAGGTGGATGGGAGATTCAGGCTTCCCCAGGAGGAGGAGGAGGAGGGTGGCTGAGCAGGGGCAGGCGGAGGTGTATGAAGCTGACTCAGCTGGGCTCTGCCACTGTGGAGATGAGAGCGGAGAGAGGCCATGGAAGAGGCTCCATCCCTTGGGCCAGAGTGCGCTGCCGCAGAGGCAGGCCCCGAATGCTTAGGGGTGCTATCACGAGGGAGGGTAGGGACCAGGAGGAAGAGCCCTCCCCTGGCGCCTTGTTTCTGTGTCCCACGGCCCATCTTCTCTATGCAAGAGCACTTGGGGTGAGTCCTGTGCCTCGACAAAGGTTGGGGTAAAGCTGTTTCTGATATGATAGGGCCCAGTTTCCATGGTAAATTACAGAAGGAAAGTGGAATCTGCTTGGGTGTGGAGCCTTCCACTCCAGGGGCAACCCCCCATCCCTCAGGCAGCCAGCCACAGTCCCAGTGTCCTTCGTACCTGTCCATTTGTGAGTGCTCTGTCCCAGGCTCAGGACATAGGCCTGAGTTCCCCTACCCCATCCCATGCCAGCACCCCCAACCAGCCAGACCTAAACTGTGCTCCTGGACTTCCTCTGTGACTCAGTGCTGGGCTCCAGTTTGTGGGCTTCCTGGGAGCAGGGACCCAGGGTCACATCCAGTCACCCACTGCCCTCAGTCATGGACTGGGCACCCACAGAGTGCTCCAACACACTGGTGAAGGGCCATTGAATCATTTCCCATGGGCCCATGTTCCCAGGGTCATTTTTTTGTGTCCCATTATAACCTAGGGATGGTCAGCATCCAGACAGCCTTTGCAGGGTTGTCAGAGAGGTGCCAGGCTAGATGGAGAGAGAAAATATGGCCCAATGCTTTCTCAATTCTCAGCAGAAATAAGTGTCAGGCTCAGCTGTTCAGATTTCTCAGCTGGAGGAGGCTCTGTACAGATTCCTTGGGCTTGAAGGGAGCTCTCCCTTTCTGCCTGTGTCTCTCTTCTCTGTTCTAGACCCTGGCCCCATCCAGCCTCACCAAGGCCTGGTTTTGCCTTGAGGAAGGGGGCTGTGGACAGAGCAAGCCTGTCCAGGAAAGAGGAGGCCAGAGAGATGGCCAGCAAGGAGGGGACAGGGAGGAAGGGGAGAGAGGGTGATGGGTAGGAAGGCTTGAGGGGCAGTTGCCATCTCCTTACTCTTCCTCTGACTTTGCACCCTTGGACTCTGGCCAAGATCTCAGGACGTCAAGGCTCCCAAGATCTCAGGGTGCCCCTTACAGGTGAGCACCATGCTTCAAGGACACTCAAACCCACTTCTTGGGGCCTTTCTTCCCTATCTCTTGTTCTCTGCCCGGTTGTTCTCTGAGCCACTGTATTATCGTTCCAGGAAGTCTGGGCCCGGGGGCTGGTGGGGACCTGGGCCAGGGGCAGGCACCTTCCTTACTGATTCTCTTTCTGAGGTATCCCCAGGTCCCACTGTGGCCTCTGCATAGGTCATGCTTCCAGATGCCTGCTGGGGGCTTTGGTGACCCAGGGCTGCCTTCCCTGGTTCAAGAACAGCATCCTGAAGGCATCCTGCAGGCACCTGGGGTCAGTCCTCCAGGGACATTACTAACTCTGGTCCACTGTGTTTCTGCTTCCAGCCTGGGGTCCCCCCTGGGGGAGTGAGTGGCTCTGGGATTTAGCTCCCTTCCTGTTCCCTACTGTAGCAGAGGGCAGGCAGGTAGGTGGCTCCTTGCAGCCCAGTCCCCTCTGCTAGGGCTCTTCCTCCCCACCCCCTCCATCTCTGCCATTTTTTTGCATCAACACATATCCATGCATTAAACAAGACATTCCATTAATTTCTTCATCATCATAACTTAAGCTGGGACATACCCTTTAAATATTCATTCAGCTATGAAAACTGGGCATTAAAATTTTAATAATGTCAAGCTCATTTGAACCGGGCTCCTTGGGGACGATTATGATACAATTAGAATAAATACTATGATTGAGCTGGTCCAAAGGCTTCACCTGGCTGTCCAGTGTGGCTCCTG